GCTTGACCTTCGACCTTGGCCTCCAAAGATAAAACCATGGGAAAGACTCAGATGAAGGTGAATGAGAACATTATAAGTCAGAATTCTCCACTCCGTTTCCCCCTGTGCGCATAGTCTATTTATTTAATATTGCTGTTCATTAGGAAAAACACCACATACAGGGAGCAGGTACAATTTGCATTGAGTTTCAAATCGGACCTTGGGGGGGCTAGGGGAATCGGAGTTGGGCTCATCAGACAACAAGAGCTTAAAATCTCTCCAAAATTTTCTGTATCATCGATAGATTTAGTGGCTTTGAATGCGGCATCAAGACGAAGATGGCTTTCTCTAACAGCCGACAACGTAGGTAAACTCAGACGGCTATGACGTTCTGCTGAGGCCAAGGCACTTGTGGATCGCTTTCTAAATGCAGCTTCGGCTGGCGGGAACCCCATTGTCGGCCACTGTGATTGACCCACCAAATCCTGTAGCCCCAAAACGCCATGTAGGTACTTTGCGCCAGAAATCTGCTGACAGAATACAACCAAACCTGTGCCCCGACCAGGCAGACAGCCAGCCCACCACCTAGCTTTTCTGCAAGCTTCCCAAGCTGCCTGCGCTTGGCCTGGTTTCTGGGGCGCCTTCCAATCATCCTTTCTCGCTCGCACCTCCTGTACTGAGGTACTCTCTACCCTTTGTCATCGCCTCGACTGCCTCCTCTTTGCGATCTTATCCAGATTTACCCAATCGCGGATTTCCGACCTCCAGCCAGAGCATTTCGGTGGTTTTTCTTTTTTGGACGAGCATTAATACTCGCAGCTCCGTTGTATAAGCAAGCGTGCCTATTGTCACCCACTCCTCTGCCTATCGCGCCGTTGTGATTCCTCTCGGCATCACGATTGATTCTTTCCCCCAGCCTTGGGCTTAACAGGAAACACGGGAGCCCGTTGTCGAAAGAAACTCGCGGATCGGCATAGATCCGAGAAACCCTCTGAGCTCTAAGGCACTCGCATCGTTCGCTACACCTACATCATGAGTGCGCCTCCACCCGGTCTGCCTAACGGCCAGAATCCGAATGGCCAGCAACCTCCTCAGCCGGCGCAGCCTGGCCAGCCTCGACCGCCTCCGATCAAGCGAAGACCTCGCGGTGACCCCCTTGTTGCACGCAAGCGACCCGGAGCTCCGCGACCACCTGCCCCGCGTCCCCCGCCGGGAGCTAGACCGTCACCTGGAGCAGCGGGTCAACATGGCCTCCAGCGACCCGAGACCGAAGACGATGTCAAGGCTAGACGAGCCGCAAACGGTGGCTGGCTCGACCCTGCGCCCCAGAATGTGAGGGAGTTCAAGATAGTAACGACGAAGAAGGCGTTAAGAGACGGTATCCGCCACCACGTCATGAAACTTTCGTCCGCCAAAGCCGACCTCGAAAGGAGAGGCATCGATCCTACAAACCAGGAGGAGTTCACGCGGCCAGTCACCCTTCAACGACGCGATCCGCGACAACCGCCTCCGGGTCGTGAAGTGAAGCAGGAACAAGCTGAGCCGCAGCCACTTGACGAAAAGGAGGCGGAACGACTGGCACAACTCAAGGCCGATCGTGAAGCTATTCGGGCTATTGAGCTCGCGAAGAGCGCGCCCAGTCTGAAAGATCCCAATGCTGATAAGAAGCCAAAGCCCAAGGAGAAGGAGAAAGATGTTCAATTTCACCGACAGCCTAGGTCGGAGAAAGAGAAGAAGCAACAAGAACTACGATACGAGGAGGCACTTCCTTGGCATCTGGAAGATGCCGATGGCAAAAATGTCTGGGTGGGATCGTATGTTGCCCCATTGTCCGAGACCACAGTCTGCTTCGTTGCTACTCGCGATGGCAAGTTCGCTGCTATCCCGTTGGAAAAATGGTACAAGTTCACCGCCAAGCCTCAATTTAACACTATGAGACTTGAAGAAGCCGAGGCTTTGATGAGCAAGAAGACGGACGTTGGGCGTTGGTACATGCGAGACAAGCAGAAAAAGAGCGAGCAAGAAGAGTGGGAGGCCACCAGACACGCCCTCTATGGTCCCGCCAAAATCAAGACGGAGAGCAGCACCTTTAGGGCGGCCTCCAGGGAAGAGAAGATGGACCACGATCAGATCGATATGGAGGGCGACGAGTTCCAGGATGACGATGAGAACCCTGGTCTGGAACAGGACAACGATGAGGAATTCAAGGAGGCAAACGATCGCATTCGTCGCGATCAGCTTGGGGCCAACTTATTCGGCGAGGCCGACGAACGTCGAGTCGAAAAGGAAATGAACGAGTTGAGGAAGGCCGAAGAGGAGCGTCGTAAGGAGGGCAAGAAGACCCAGAAGGCTCTGATCAAGCGAGAAAAGGAGACTATCTACCAGTCTGATTCGAGCGGCTATGATCCTTTCGAGTCGTCATCGGTAAAATTTCCTAAAGTACACTAAACATCTTCTTATCTTTGCTAACTGCTTCTGTAGAGCGACGATGACTCGGATGAGGAGAAGCAGAAAGAAGAGAACAAGGATAAGGAGAAAGATGACGAGAACAAGGACAAAGATAAGGATGCAGACGGGAAGGATAAGACGGCCTCGGGCGTCTCGTCCAAGGGTAACACAACCCCGTCTGGCCGACAGAAGCACACAGACGCTCTCAAGAAGGGCAAGTCTCTGAAGCGCCCTGGCTCCCCCAATCTATCCGAGTCCAGCGGCAATGAATCGTCGCGAAAGAAACTAAAGAAGCACCCTGCGACCTCAGTCCATCAAAGTCGCTCGTCAACCCCTTCCGCCGGTCTGAAGAACAATTTGGGCAAGGGTGCCATGAGCGACGGGGAAGCGACCGGAGGAGAGATGTCCGATGGTCAGTTGAGAAAGAAGAAGATCAAGCTCGTTGGCAGTGGAGTGAGAGGCACACCTGTCGGCTCGAGGGCCGGTAGTCCCATGCCCGCAACATCTGGTAAGCATAAGCTTCACGTCTTTGCAATTACTCTGCATCTGCTGACAGTGTGGAAGGTTCCAAGCCCGGTTCTCCTCTGCCAGAGGGTTCTCCGGCTCCCCGTGCTGGATCTCCCAATGGGCCTATCGAGGCTTGGGAGATTGTGGACGCCTTGCCCGAGTTGCCCGGTGGCATCAGCATCGGCAATCTCATGAGGAGATTCCAAGGCCGTATCGGTGACGGCCCTGGCCAAATGGATCGCAAGGATTGGATCAAGCTCGTCAAAGAAAATTGCGCATATGGCCCTGACAAGATTCTACGTCGCAAGCCGACCTAGTGGCCCTGACAATTAGGGTTTACACTACGAGACTGCATAATTGTAAGTGCCTCTCGGCAGGTCCAACTGCCAAGTGGAGTTTAAATTCGCAACCGAGTAGTAGATTCTGTGAGCAGCTGCTGGATGTCAGTCGTACCGACATTCACCGTTGCCAAGCTCCTAGATATAACGCTTAGAAGGTATGGGCGGCTTTTCAATGCACACAACTTGGACTACAACAACCGATGAACAGCCCTGTAGGGTTGGGCTGTGGCTATCGCTGAGGAGTTGGGCCTGGTTTCCCATCTGGTCTTGGGAATTAACCTTACTTTCTGGCTCAGTTCTTGTCGTTCCCACTGGATACCCCATATACCTCCAAATTAGCAAGACTCGATTGCGACGGCTATGGTCGCTAAAACAGACTTGCTGGGGTTTATCCAGGTGGTGGTTTAGGCTTCTCAAACAATGGTTGCATCTAGGCGCCGTACTATTCATCCATCTGCCAAGCATAGTCCAGCCCCTTGTTCCTTTCCCTACGATTGATCGCCTTGAATCGTTCCCCTTCAAAACCGTTGCTCCTATCCACGCCGTCCCATCTGTACCCCGGCTTGATGCCATAACGATTGGGCGGCGCAGCGCCAGCGTATATCGGCCTCTTCTTGACCATTTTACCCTTCTCACCACCGGCGCCCTTCTTCTCACTCATGAATTGCGCCATGGGATCATTCCAACGCTCCTGGTCCTTGAGCTCCCTGTTCAACTCCTCGTCGTCCGCTGTCCGCGCAAACTTCATGAGCTTGGCGTCCTCGAGCGCCTCCCTGCGCTTCCGTGCCTGTTCGAGCTGCACGTCACCCTTTGGCGCCAGCTTGGCTTGCCGCTCCTTTTCTTCTGCTTCAGCCGCCAGTCTGCGGGCCTCGGCGCGCTTCATCGACACGTCGACCCGACGGCCTGTCGCGTCGCGATATACAGTCTCTTCCTCTTTGCCGTGTTTCCGTAGCTTGGCGAATTCGGCCTCCTCCGCCTGCTGTCTGCGGCGCAGCTGCGCCGACACGGCGGCGGCGCTCTGCAGGCCCGCGTGCGTGCCGTCGCTCATCTTGACCACTCCTACCTCTCCGTCACCCTCAATGACGGGCATCTCGTCGTCTGCTTGTGCGGCTCTGGCATTTTCTGCTGCCGCCGAGGCGAGGATCGCGTCCGCGGCGGCGGCACCGTCGTCGTCTTTTGGTTTTGCAATGCTGCTGCCGCTGGCAGTGACAGTCTTCCAGTTTGATTTCTTCGTGCGCCGGAACTCTGCCGATGTACCTGATACGAGCGCGGCTCCTGAATCTATTTCGTCGTCTTGTTTTGTCGAGTTGCCCCAACCGCTGTCGTCGTCGTCTGCGATGATGAGGCCTTGGTTCTCGGTGGTTTGCTTGCGCTTGCGCTTCTTGGTGGGTTTCGGATCTGCTACCAAGTAGCGCGTTGCTAGGTATGATGAAAGATCAGAAGGCATTTTCGCAGAGATGCGCTCGCCAGCGTAGGGTTCGGAGAATGGGTTTCGTGGAAGAAGTTGCACTGGGTTCAGATAAGCAGTTTTGTTCAATGGTAATTCATGATGTCCCGTCCAAGCTGTCGACATCACTGCACGTCTAAGACGCACGGATGTGGCAGCCAGAGACTAGAAAAGCAGGGGCCGTTGAACGACAAGGGTACCCTACCCCCACCCGTCCTCCACGAATGGATGTGCAGGTGACGGGGCGCTAGTTACTTATCAGAGTGTCGAGTGCGAACCTAACAGTGACGGCCGCTGAAAGGTAATTTGGCCATGCTGCAGCGTACCTTGTGGCATCGTCATGGAACAGTCACTGTACGTCGTTCCTGCTGCACTCGCCTGTCCGGCGTAGACACCGAAATTGCTGACCTTGAGTTTAGCTTTAGACTGATCCGACCAACCACTTGTTTCTGCGATCGACTCGCGACCCCCCTTTAAAGCACGACGCCCGAAGCCATCCGGCGGATCTACGAATGCTAGAACAGCAAACACACGGCTTTCGACAAGACCCAGGCAAAAGGGTATCAGTCGGCCTCGACTGATACACCTCATCAAGCCTTCCTCATGCGACCACCGGACAACGATGCGTCGCCTATCGATCCGCTCCAGGCGCTGCCGATGGCGGCCTCCACCGCGAGACTGCCTAAGAGGCAGTCCTTACCAGATGGCCAGCCGCTGACGCAATCCGAAATCAGCCTGCCGTACCGGAGATCGAATCCCTCTGTCGCGCCGCTCTTCGCCTCGACACTGACTCCCCCAGGATCGCGATCCGGTTCCCCCATGGGGAGGGGCTCGCCGGCGCGTCCGCTCTCCGGCTCAGTCTTTGGGGGTCCAGCGAGGCGCTCACTCATTGAGACCGCTTCCGATAGCCCGGGTGACCCGCGTAATCTGATCATGAAGGCTTACGTTCCCCATGTTGCCATTTATGCCTCACCGGACACGGAGGAGCTGGCAAATGACAAAGGATTCAAAAGCGGCGTGTGGGAACTTTTGCGTCCATTCGGGGAGCAGGTACAGGGCAAAGTCACAATCAGAGATAGCAACGGTGCCAGCAGATCGTGGGAGGACTTCTCTGTTCGGTTTGTCAAATTCGGGGACAACATTGAGCCACCAGACGCTGGTGGCGCGAAAGGATCGCAGCATGCTGCTGCCAACGGGCAATTCGGGCCTGCCTCAGGGTTGAGGAGCAACTACGAGGACGTCGAGGCCGTAGTCGACCGTCACCTTTCTTACGCTGAAGACTCATTTCTCAATACAGCGCACCACGGGGTAACAAGACAAGGCTTGGATATTGAGGCAACCTCGCCCTACTACTCATTATACCTACGGCGGCTGCTATCCGGCATACCTGTAGCACCTCACGAGACTTTTGCGCATCCCGTGGCGTGTGTGATTGCTATCAGCTCACGCAGCCCTTCACCTATCGAAGATCTGCGCAAGTTATACAATGACACGAGCTCCGGCGAGAACAAGCTGCCAGTCTGGGTTGACGGGGACTACCTTCGATACTACGTCCTGGTACACGATGAGGAGCGTGACGATATCACTCGATCACTCGCTCTTTTCGACCAGATGAAGCGCCACCTAGGTCTGCATTGTCATTTGCTCCGATTACGAAGCACACAGAGCGCCGAGACCGACGACGATAGCATACCACTGCCCAGGAGCGACTGGATGTCGGCAGCCGAAGAAATGGCAGATATCCGGCACAGCGAAGACCAGGAAGATTTCGAAGACCCAACGAGGTACATCTTTGAGTCGGACGCGACGGCGATTCGGACGTTTGTGAGGGAGATGGTCACACAGTCCATCATTCCCACCATGGAGCGTCATGTCTCGCTCTGGAATGACCAAGTGGCATCTCGTAGGAGAGGTATTACGGGAAGGTTCATGAACCTGTCGAGGAAATGGGGCGGTTTCGGCAGCAGTTCACGAAACTCGGTGGTAGGAGGTAGCAGCTCGTCCAGTGCCTACGACACACTCGGGTTTTATCGTCCAGATGCACCTGAGGCGATCATGCGGAAGCTTGCTGATTTCGCTTTCATGCTGAGAGACTGGAAGCTGGCACACTCGACTTACGACCTCCTAAGATCCGACTTCAGCGATGCCAAAGCATGGAAGTATCACGCAGCAGCTAACGAGATGGCTGCCGCTAGTCTGCTTATCATGCCCCAAAGTTTGTCATCCAAATCTCGAGCTGAGACGACCGACCAAATGTTGGAGGCGGCATTTTACTCATACCACACACGCTGCAGCTTTCCCTTTGGCGCACTGCGGTCTCTGACTTTGGGTATTGAACTTCTGCGGCTTAGGGGCGGAAGCAGTGTTGACGATGCTGTGAGGTGGGGTATTCGCCTTCTTGATTCAAAGATCCTCGGCCCCGTCGGCGACGCCCTCATGAAGGAACGCCTAGCAGTCTGCTACGCCTCGAAACCGGGCGTTGGTTCCGGTGCGTGGGGCCATCGGAAGCGCAAGTCGGCCATGTGGTGTATCCTTGCTGGAGAGGCCTGGCACACCCAGAAAAAGTATATTCAGTCTCAGCGGTGTCTCAATGAGGCCGGGCGGATATACTCAGAGCTACCGCACGAGCACGGCATCTCCAAGCTCAACCTCGCCAATGAGTTCGTGGGTGGCTTGCAACACGACCTCGACGAGAAGCTCGACGTGGACAATCGGGGCGATGAATCGCTTTTGCAGGGTATGGAGGATCTTGTTGTTGACGAGGAGAGCGAGGCGTTGGATCTTAGGTCAAGGAGAGCGAGCATGATGGGGCGTGGGCCGGTGCCGGCGTCAAGCCTCGAGACTGCGCCGCTGCATGAGGTGACGTCGCCTGCCAGGGAAAAGGCCGACGGATCGACACAGGATGAGTTCGGCTAAGACGAGCAATGACAGCGGAGACGGGCACAGCGCTGGGTGGATAAAGTAGCAGATGCGTTCACGAAGCGGATTAATAGCAATTATACTTGCCTTGTCGTCTATGCCGCAGAGATGTGATTGTTTGCCTCCGCAGCTTTCGCTCCCAGGGCCTAGATACGGCCGATATACAGACCATGGTGTATGCTTAGGTGGTGCAAGGACTCTCTTGAGTATCATGATTCCTTGCATTCTCCATTCCCATCAACGGGTTGCGCCATTGGTATGGAACCAAGATTCAATTTGATGGGGTGACATTTATTTAGCTGTCCACCTACCTGTAGGTATGTTTCAGGTACGTACCTGCCACGGCCCTTGCTAGGGACCCTTGAATTTCGTAGTGATCTCATAGGCAACCGATAGGGGGAGCACGTCGTCCGGTGTCCGCCGATAAGGCACTCTCCCCCACCGTCCCGCTGAACAAGCTGCGCGTTTCCCGTGGCATCGTTGGAAAGTCACAAGGTCTCTCCTCTTCGAATTGCGATTTTCCGGGTTTGACCCAAAAAGAAATCTATTTGCCTGCTGCGTCTTCCGACCACCAAGGCTCTTTTTTTTTACAACTTTGCATCGGTAGAGCCGACCTCGGAGCAAGGGTTCTTGAGATTTACATCACCAAAGCCGCATCGAGACCTCGACGTCACTCGACCAGGATGGGAGAGCTGGCCGATTTCCTCGTTGAACGAGACGAAAACTTTCGCAAGTATGCAACCTTTATTCACCCTTCGCAAACCCCAATTTGAAATTACACAAGTTACTGACATGCCATTATCCATCCAGAGCCCGTCTACCCGCCCTCTACTCCGACTTCCGTGCCCAACGAACCCTCAATCCGGATGGCTTCCAAGCAAATGTCAGTGCCTGGCGTCAGGCTCTCGCCCGCGCCGCATGGGAAGGCAGGATAGCATCCCAGGTCTCGGCACCCAACATTTTCGTCTTGAATGTTGATGAGAATCTCGTGCGTTCACTCGAAAGCAAACAATTCGGCCGCCCTCTGGCGCTGGGTACGGTTGTGAGGGAGGCTGTAGATGAGAAGGACCTATACCCGCTCAAGGAGTTTCTGAATTCCAAGGAGAGCATTTACGCCGGGAAAACATGGGGACAGGTTTCGTGGACTGTGGTGTCATGGGCGGCAGGGCAGCTCGGGTTCGGCGGGAAGTCGACTTCAGGCGAGGATAAGCTGCCACAAGGGAGATTTGTGGTCATCAAGAACGTCGAAACGACAGCAAAGAGCCTTGCCGAGAAGGTAACACCGTCCGACACGAGATTCAACAGGACATACACGAAGTCGCACTTCCGCAAGACATTCGCGAACACACTGGTCCAGGATCGTAGGCTATCCGAAACGGACGTCGACATCCTCCTCGTATTTCTCTCACGGGACAAGGAAATCGTGGTCTACGACGGACAAGTCGTCAAGATCAAAGGCACCGCAGACGAGGACGAGTCCGTCATCACAGAAGAGGACGCGGCGGTCTCCTCGCTCAAGGAGCTGATCGCCGACATGACGGAACAGACGAAACTCCTTACACGGCGCGTTGACGAACTCACGACCACGGCCAAGGACGCCGTCTCGAAGAAGAATAAAGTTGCAGCGCTGGCAGCACTGAAGTCGAAGAAAATGACCGAGGCGACGCTGGAGAAGCGCTTCGCAACACTGAATCAGCTTGAGGACGTGGCGGCGCGGATCCAGGAGGCCAGGGACAACGTGCAGCTCGTCAATGTCATGGAGGCGAGCGCTGGCGCGCTCAAGGGCCTCAACGAGAAGATCGGCGGCGCGGACCGCGTAGGTGACGTTGTCGACAGGTTGCGCGAGCAGATGGGCGAGGTGGACGAGGTCGGCAGGGTCATTTCCGAGGCCGGCGCAGCGCCGGTGGACGAGCTCGAGGTGGACGACGAGCTGGAGGCTATGGAGCGTGAGGAAAGGGAGAAGGAGGAAGCTGTGGAGCGGGCGAAGAAGGAGGCGCGGGAGACGAAAGAAGCCGAAGAGATGCGGCACCGGCTGGAGAAGGAGATGGCGGAGCTGCGACCACCTGTCACGGAACCAGCGGAAAAGGAGGACGCGAAGGAGAAGATGCAGACGCCGACAGGGGAAACAGCGGACAGCTTGGAAAAGCTGGAGCTTGATGAGCGGGAGAAGCCACTGCCCGCGCAGTAGAAGGTCCCTTCTGTAACAACTTGTGTTTTGAGGGTTTTCAATTTGGGACGTTTTGGTTTGTATTCAAGCAAGCCTTTATGGCTTATTCCGTATATGTGAAGGGTATAATAATGAAACGCCATTTCATGAACGCCGGGATGCAAAATTATCGCGCCTCTCAACTGCTTGGTATTTGCGGTTCTGAGAAGCCACCGTGCAAGTAGCACGCTGCCGTTGGCGGCTGAGACTTTATGGAAGGTTCACCATGTTCCACACCAAACCTTTGGTTTCTTTCCATCTCGTCTCTTAGGTCGTCTCCATCAGTCTTCGGGGCTTGTGCGGCGTCCCCCGGTCGTTCCGTCAAGTCAACCATCGCGACCTCTTTACCCGAAGGATCCGTCACAGCATGCGGTGCTTGAGTAGGCGAGTCGTCTATAGAGACGGGATTGGTCGCCTCCTCTATTGTTGATTTGGCCTGTGCTCTCGATTTGCGCGCATTGGCAATTAGATCCTTGAACGAAGTGTCGTGCTTTGCCGCCCATGCCGTACCATCAAACTCCTTGTCCTTGACCGCCACACCGGGACGTACAAACATTGGTGCCTTGGACCCTTGTGTGCGCTCCCATACGTCGAGATCGTGGAGCAGCTCGGCGCGACGCTTAGGACGGGCAGAGTCGCAGTTGGCATTCCACAGCGTGACCCATTCCTTGTGCCGTTTCTCCAGCTGAAGGCGTGTTCCGGTCGTTGAGAGACCCAGGTCAGACATCTTCTTCCGAAGGGCGGCATCCTTGAGCATGGAATATGCGAGGGCAGGGAGACGCTCGGGCGCCGGGGTCAATCGGTGGCCGCCGTGAGCGGATGTGTTCGGGGTGGGTGTACGGCTCGAGCTGCTGCGGGCTGTTGTCTGAGTTTTTGCGCCGGTGCAGGTGTCGAGATGACGAAAGACTTGCGCTTCCTTCATGCGGGTGTTACATATAGGGCATGGGACGAGGCCATCGTCAAGAGCTAGAAAATATGTGTTAGAACCATGGGGGAATATGCTCGATGACACAAATTAGATTACCAAACGTTTCGTCCTCCACCTCGTCGTCCTCGTCCACATGTAGCGGCTGCCCGATTCCGGCTTCTTCATCTATCGCTGCAGCCGTCTGCCCTGATCTTGTTCTGCTGAGCCTCGCAGAACTCCTCAGTCGCTTGGCTTCGGGCTGATGTTCGCCTGACGCAGATTCCTCCTCGGCCACCTTCCTCTTGGAAAAGTCGCGAATCGTTGATTTCTGGCCCGCTGTCTTCGCAAACTGCAGTGTATCCTTCCTTGCTTTGACGAACGACTCAACAACCTCCTCCATGGACCAATTACTCCTCAACTTCAACTCCTGGTCCGAAGCCCGGCAGAGGGGGCACTTTCCGTCATTGGAGAGGGCGCGGCGGATACATAGCGAGCAAAATGTGTGGCAGCAGGATGTGAGCATGGGCGTCTTGAAGAAGTCCTTGCAAACCTGGCAGCGCAAGGAGGCTTCGACTGCTGAGAGGGCTGGGAGGGGTGTCGAGAGCCAGTCTGTCGAGTCGGGTACGTCTTCGAAATCGGTCATTGTGGGTGATGGAGACAGTGCGCTTACGAGGTTCCGATTCTGAGGTTGGTTACGGGTTAGAAATCTCTACATGCCTTGTTCAGGGATGTTGGGAAGAAACGAGCACAATGAGACCTGTAATTAGGTATTATCTGGGGAGTATGTAAAAGTCGCGTCGAGTGGCGGCGCGCTTGGAGTCAGGGATCTAGAGGTCGGGGGGCGCACTTTAAGTGGGTAACGTCATCGAGCTGACCAATTGTGCTGTGCTGAGAGGCCCAAGGATGGGGCGTGAGCATAAAATCAATTAAGAGTAAGTATGAACCGCGTCTTTATCGTCCGGACGCGTCTCACCAACCAACCGCCCATTCTTCATGGGGAAGCACTTTTAAACTCTCTGTAAAAGGCTTGCTTGCGATTTTAGTCCCTTTTGCAGCACCAGTTCCACCAAACAAAATATAGATCTTCCAGTCTGGTGGTCTCGTCATGGACGAATTCAAGAAATACCTGGCGGATCAGATCCTCAGCGAGGAGAAGATCGTAAGCTATGAACACCCCCTGTTGACAACAGATAGTTGGTTCAGATACTGATACTTACTTGCTCAGGTTACATATCGAAGCCTCAGCAGAGCTTTGAAAGTGCACGTCAATACGGCGAAGGGGTCTGTTTCATCAATTCCTTTCATTGCATCGTTCGGTTACTCATCAATTTTCTTTTTATATTTTAGGATGCTCTATGAGTTCCATCGATCACAGAATAGCATGCGTCCTGGCACAATCCACGCCACCTATCTGATCTATGGTATACAGAAGGCGATGAAGGTTCAAGAAGATGGAGACGTTGAGATGACCAGCTCTCCTCCTGATGCCGAGCCTTTGTCTGATGAGGTCGCCACCCACTCCCTGATCTTGGTCCCTGGTGATCGTCTGAAGGGTACGTCCAATGTTTGCTTATAGAGCCACGTTTCTCGACTCACTGACCCCCTTTTAGAAGTATTGGCAACATACGAAGAAGTGTCGTCCTTTCACATCTACAGCTTGGCCAGGCATCCCACCACTGTATGTTGACCAAATTCCTCTCGGGTCAAGGCTGACTTTTTGTTTAGGAGTTGCAGATGCTGGCGGATATCACACAGCAGATCAAGGAGCAGTCGGCTGGTGATAGCGCATCTATGGCCGAGACGTACGGTACCATTACCAACCCTAATGTCCGGAAGCGCGATCGCCAGGGACGGCCCGTACCGGCAGCCGCGTCTGCAGCGCCAGCAACTAAGTCTGTTAAGGACCTCGCACCGTCTGTAGCCAAGCCCACATCCCACGAGCCAAAGACAGAGCCGGCCAAGCAAGGCACAAAGACGTCTGCCAAGGATGCCCCGTCATCTACCGCGGGGACCAAGAAGCAGGCGCAACCGCCTGCATTAAAGAAAACCGGCTCCTCGGGGATCATGTCGTCGTTTGCCAAGGCGGCGGCAAAGGTCTCAACTGAACCAAAAGAGGTGCCGAAAAAAGAACCCCCGG